TGATGTGCACTGACCACCAGGGGGCAGATGCCCACAGGGGGAGCACTGCTCTGCCAGAAACCAGGCTTATGGCTGGCAAGCCCAGTGAAGGTGGCAGGAGTCCAGTGGAGGGTTCAGGCCTAAACTGGCAGTTGGATATCCCCTGAGGGGTCCCAGATTGGATATGGTGCTGGCTGGGCTGAGGGATACCATCCCCCCACAGTGCACAAAATTTGTGCACCAAGCCTCTAGTCTATACATATAAAGAGGTAATATGCTAATTGCCATTATGGTGTCCCATAACCAACTTGCATGTTGATGTGCACACAGCAGGGAGTGGGCAGCTGGAACCAAGTTTGCAGGGGCCTGAGGAGAGAGCCCAGACTACAAAGGAAGAGGAAGTAGCCATAGAAGCTCTTCCAATCCCCCTGCATGGACACCCTACCCCCTCCACTGCACTCCCAGGGGGATGGAAGGACACCCTACTCCAGGCCCTACACCCCAGGGGGAAAGGGAGGTTTACTGGATGGGGAGAAGACCCACCCTAAAAACTGGTATTGGTGTGGGCATTAGAAACAATGAGAGCTAGGACCTGAAATGCTTTTAGGTCCTGAGAGCTCATTGTTGATTTCATTAAGGACAGCAGAGCCAAAAGACTGGTCACCTAGGACAGATGAAATTGTGAACCTGCCCTACCAGCCCTGACCAGCTCATAACCCTACTCTGTGCCAAGTTCATAGGGATGTAAGTGAAAAAACATAGTTCCTGTATCAGAGGTAACAGATGTGTTAACATTTTTTTGCACACTGGGCTTGTGTCAGAAAACATCCTTTATGCTTTATATATATTAGAATGACTATGTGCTCTAGGTATTACTTCATTCAGAGATGGAGGATACAGGCTTAGCAAGTTTAGCTACCCATGGTAATCCAAGGGTGGAAGCTGGTCTTGTAACTCCATCATCTGTGGGATTAACTGCAATGCTATATTGGTTCCCAGTCTTATAAAAAATTTTAATTAAAACTTGAATTCAAATTAAAAGGAATGAAACTTAATGAAGACGAGTACAGGGCACATTGGGTTCAAAGAGGAGAATGCCACAGGTTCCCACAGAATCTCGGGAGCTTCCCCGGGGTGTGAGGGATGAGTGTGCAGGCAACAAGCAGTTGCAGAGCCACCTGGTCATGGTGAGCGCGCTGAGGTGGGATCTCAAACATCAAGTGGGAGAGACAAACGTTAAATAGGTAACAGAAAGTTATGTAGAGAGCAGCTTAAGACTGAATAATGGAACTAGAGATGATACTGATCACTCTTTTAAGAAGCTTTACCACAGAGAATGCAAGTCTGTACATATTTACACACACTATTATCAGTCTACTGAAGCTGAAATTTTGTGCTGCCATTTATTTGTAGCTTTGGGTAAGCTGCATACCCTCTTTTCATCTATAAATAAGGTTTAACTTCATCTAAAAGAGCTACAGAATATAAACTTTGTGCATAGTACTTTTTTTCCTGAACCCAGAAAAAGACAGATGCTCATGTATATTATTAGCTACAACTGTGCCAGGCCCCATTTTAAGTGCTTCTCGGGTTTTGTTTTTCCCCCAACAACTTATATGCACTATTTCTAAAACTCGCTTTTCAGGCGAGAAATAGGCAGGTTAAATGCATCTAAGAGCACATTGACAGTTAAATGGCAGACTCAGGATTTGAACATCCTGGCTCCTGAGAATACATGACTCACAGCAACTGCCCTCTGAAATAATTCCAACATTACCACACTAGACCCCCATCTAATTTTCTGAAAGCCAATAGTGACCCACTTATTATTCTCATAGCGCCCTTTTATGTGCAAATAGCAGATATCCATGCCACAAAAACTATGTGACATGTTCACTCTTAATGGAGTTGTGCTAGAACTACCTACTTACTGTTATCTAGAAGTTACTAGAGCAATAACAGCTCCACAAACTTTAAAACTACATCCCTCCTAAGCCTCAGTTAAATAAAAATCTATTATGAGACCAGTGTTTCTGATCTTTTCCCCTCAAAGACCTAGCAATTATCATCTTATGTGCCTCTGGCCACCAACACAGGCATTAAGTCAGGATGAATTAAGGACTGTATATCTGCTTTACCCGATTGATATAAGAGCACCACCAAACATCAGGTGTCACCTTGCCCGTTGCCAGGGGGTTTGTGCATAGTACTTTTAAAAAATTTTTTAGAGAATGGGGAGAGAGAGAGGGAGAAACATTGATTTATTTGTTGTTGCTCCACTTATTTATGCATTCAGTGGCTGATTCTTGTACTTGCCTTGACAGGATCATAACCACAACCTTTGTGTTTTGGGATGATGCTCTTAGCCAACTGAGTTACCTACCTGGCCAGGGCCTGCATAGTACTAATTTTAACAAAATTTTACTGCCACCCCTCCCATAGTGTATTAGTATCTACAGTATAAACATAGAATTCCTTCTATTTAATAACAGAGACTATTCTCAAAGTATAATGTGCGGTAAGATAAAAAGAAGACTAGAATGATGGTGTTTTTATTTCCTAAAGGCTACATTTTCAATATAGTATTTCTTAAGGACTTTGTTCTATAAACTTTTGGTAAATCCTTAAAATCTATCAGTAATATTAACTACTACCCTGATCGGTTTGGCTAAGTGGATAAAACGCGAGCCTGCAGACTGAAGGGTCCCGCGTTTGATTCCGGTCCAGGGCATGTGCCTTGGTTGTGGGCATATCCTCAGTAGGGAGTGTGCAGGAGGCAGCTGATTGGTGTTTCACACTCATCGATGTTTTTAACTTTCTATCCCTCTCCCTTCCTCTCTGTAAAAAATCAATAAAAATTAAAAAAAAAAATAGTAACTACTACTAAATGCAAAGTATAGCAGACATTTGCATAGGATTCTATTCAGCAACCCCTCTCCTGCAATCTTGCCCCTTGCCCACCTTCCCATCCCCACCCCTGCTTACAAAGCAGAATTTTAGGATAAAAGACAAATATTTAATCTTAGCAAGAAGAATTGTTTAAGTATCACGAATTTAAACTACTTTTACCTTATCTAAGGTTGCCTTAACAGACCAAACATTTTTGGCATTAAAAAAATGTTTTGATATGAAAGTTGTAGAGGGTATCAAGTTGTTTGTCCTTTATTTTTAATATTTTTATTAATTTCAGAGAGAGAAAGGGAGAGGGAGATAGAAACATCAATGAAGACAGAGAATCATTAATTGGCTGCCTCCTGTACACCCCACACTAGGGATCCAGTTCGCAATTTGGGCATGTGCACTGTCTGGGAATTGAAGTGTCCTCCTGATTCATAAGTTGACGCTCAACCTCTAAGTCACACCAACAGGGTCGTTTTCCTTTTTTAATATATAACAGTATCTCCCATATGCCATAAAAGCATTTCAATCAGGTTTATGAAATTCTTTGAAAATGCCATCCTATATAATAAAAGCCTAATATGCTACGTGTCCAGTCATCTGGTTGGCCTTTTCACCAAAGTGTAATGTGCTAATGATATACTAAGGCCGCTTAACTGCTTACTATGACATGCACTGAGCACCGTATTTAAAGTATCTAATGTGGCAGACACTCTGGTAGGTGAGCTTGCTGCTGGGGTCTGGCCAATCGGAACTGAGCTCCAGGGGCTGCACACGCCCTGAGCCCTCCTGTGGCCCTCCCCTCCCCAGCTGGCCAACCTCCTGCATACCTCCCCAGACATGATCATGCAATGGTGGGGTCTCTTGGCCTGGCCTACATCCTCTCCCAATCCAGGAACTCTCGGGGGATGTCAGAGAGCCAGTTTCAGCCTGATCCTGCAAGCCAGGCTGAGGGACCCCATTGGTGCATGAATTTGTGCACCAGGCCTCTAATTTAAAATACTATCAATGATTGCTTTATAGCTTTGAATCACTGAATTGAACCAGATTCCAGACCATCTTAAGAACTTTCTCAGCATTTAGAAATGTCTAATGCTATTTACTCCAATCCCTTCAAAAGCAGTGTTCTCTGCTGATGATAGAAATAAGATTCGTGTATTTAGTGACTGGTTTAATAATATGGCTACTAAGAACCTTTTCCAACCTTAAAGATTCAATACTGAAAAACCTTTCCTTAAGTATCTTTTGAGATGCATTTGTAGCCCAAGTCTCAATGTTTTAATAGGAAAAGGCTAAGTTTGGCTATTTCAAATTTGACTCAATTTTTCTAAATACATTACTTTTATCCTCTTCATCCAGACACTGCAATTTATTATACAGCCCTCACTCACAGATTCCCCCTAGATCTGATGCATCTAGACTCTAATCTTTAGACAGTTATAAACATACACCTTGCAGAGATGGCAAAGTCTAATTCCTTAATCTCCTCTGAGATTTTAAAAATGAACTAAGTATTTAAGGGAAGTTATACTTTATGTTATGGTTAAAGAAACATAACAGAAACCCATTCTGAGTATGAAAAGAAAAAAACACTAAATTATTTCACAGTTATCTACTAAAGCCTAAATCTAAACTGATTACAACCAATATTTAACTATACATTCACATAGCTAATAAAGGAGAAAAATAAAACTTGAACCCCATGTGCCAAAAACAGCCTGCTTCCACTAACCTCGGGTTCTAGCATATCCCAGGATACAGTAGATTGGGGGCAGGACTTGAAGCTCAATTAAAGCTGAAGGTCATTCCATTGTGTAATTCTGAGCTGCTAAAATTTCACTAAAAAAATCACAATGGTACTTTATACAACCTTAATGACAAAAGAGTAATTTTTTTGTTCCTTACCTAAAATTTATAATACTGACCAAAAGCTGAAAATTATTGGTATATGAACATTAAAGTGTGATAAAATAAGACAAAGCATGGTAAAGACTGCTTTATTGGTGGCAGTTAGTACAAGTCAATAAATATTGATCCCAAAGAAGAACTCAGCTATCGTCAGCTTACTGGTCCAGAGAGCTGAATGAAACTGAACCAGCTCATTGCTGGGAGGATAACTGATGTCAATCCTGCTTCTTGGGAAATGAAGCCAAAGCCAGCAGATACAAGGCATAAATTGTTCCTAAAAAAATTAAAAATAAAATAAAAAACACACAAGAACTTAGAAGAAATTCTAAGATTCAAATGATTAAACCTAATATTCCAGCTAAAAATTTTAAGATAAAGGCAAGGTTGGCAGTAAGACTACTTTAACAGGTACTGGAAAATTTTTTCAAAATAGGGTGACCCAAGAAAATATATATGCATACTTTGAATAATTACACAGGCAGTGTTTATTAAAATAATTTCATTTTCAAAATTGAACTACTAGCTATTAAACTATGTAAACATTTTTAAGTCACCCTGTATATAATAATTATTCTGGTTTCAATATTACTTAACTTCTACACAAAGTGTTAGAAACAGCACAATAATGTATTTGTCATCTTAAAAACAAAAAATTTTAAATAAAATTAAGAACATATATAATTTCCATACTTATCTAAGATTGCCTGAGAAAGCTAAGAACAATTAAAACATCAACAAGAGGTAAAAATACACAAGCTTTCCCTAAAGTGTATTATCAATGTAAAACTAAGGAACATGATATATAATTTTAAAATAACCAATTTTAATATAAGAATAGCTAATAACTAAAATTCATAACTCTGCTCCTACTATAATAATTTGTGTATTACACTGCTAATACTGAATAATGGATCTGCCCACATAAAAAATGTCAAAGCACTTCACATATAGTATTAAGTATTGGTCTATACTGGTTTTTTCATAAATAAGGGTGTACAAAATTGAGATGTAAAATGTTTTTATTATGTATCACAAAATGTTTAAAAGCACATTACAGGAGATGGGGTAGAGTAGATGCCTTTGATTCCTCCAAAGGCCTACAGGGCCACCAGTGGCACATGGAAAGCCAATCATCAGACTTTACTGGTACATTTGTTAAAGACATTAAAATGTTCTTATACAATATGTACCAATCACCCTCTTGAATCCTTATAGCAAAGCATTATGATCTCAGATTCTGGCCGAAACCGGTTTGGCTCAGTGGATAGAGCATCGGTCTGTGGACTGAGAGGTCCCAGGTTCGATTTCGGTCAAGGGCATGTACATTGGTTGCGAGCACATCCCCAGTAGGGGGTGTGCAGGAGGCAGCTGATCAATGTCTCTCTCTCATCGATGTTTCTAGCTCTCTATCCCTCTCCCTTTCTCTCTGTAAAAAAATCAATAAAATATATTAAAAAAAAAAAAAAAATCTGATTCTGGAGAAAGACTGCCTGTATTAAAATACTGGCATAGCATGCTATCCACAGACGATGTATTATAAAACTGTATACCTGAAATATACATTATTATTAATGAATGTCATCCCAATGAATTTAATAAGAAATAATATTTTAAAAATACTGGCATAGTAAAAGCAATGAAATTGTTAGTTATCTTACTATTACTTTTCTATAATTTTCAAATGTCTTACCACCAACTGTAAGAATCATGGTAGCTCTATACAGGAGGGCATCAGCTACCCCACCTTTGAGATGTACTGGAATTCCATTGTCTTCCTAAATTAAAAAAATAATATTAATAAAAAGACTAACCCATTCATATAAAATTAAATGGCTGTATAAACCCCTAAAATTTAAATATTTTAAATTTCAAAATTAAAAAGAACTACAATTTCCCTGATTTTTTCTTTACTACTACTACTACTCCTACCACTACTTTTAAAATAAGAACTTCTAGAGTCAACACTCTTTCTTTTAAAGTTAATTTGTGATCCAATAAAGATGTTCTTTTCATGGAATATATAAAATATAAGTGTCGATATGAAAATGTACTCATTGAGTTTATCAACTTAATTATAAATATTAGTAATCATCACATTTTAGACTCAGTCCAAGAGAAGATTTTTTTTTTAATTCTTTAAAATAAAGGGAGAGATTAAAAATGGTGGCAAAGTAATTGGATGCTACATGGACATACTCCCAGGACCAAACTGGAATTACAACTAAAATACAGGAAAAATTTCCTGAGAAATCAACAGAAGACTCCTTGGAGAAGAGTTGAAAAAAAAAAAAAAAAATCACTCAATCAGAGAATTAAAAGGAAAAAATTAAAAACAGGAGGACAGCTTAAGGGGAGCTGTGGGACAAAGTGAAACATAAAAGATACTTGAATATCAAGTGTGCAATAGAGGACGTGTTTGAAGAAGTAATGGCAGAAAACTTCCCTAACTTGGTAAAGGAAAAAGTCACATAAACTCAGAAGGCACAGAGAACCCCAAGCAGGCACACACCCAGACACGTCATAATTAAAGCGCCAACAATTAAAGACAAAGAGAGAATCTTAAAAGCAGCAAGAGAAAAGGTTATCTACAAAGGAGTTCCCATAAGGCTGACACCTGATTATCAGAAACTCTACAGGCCAGAAGGGAATGGTATGAATTACTCAACGTAATGGAAAGCAAGGATCTGAAACCAAGATTAGTATATCCAGCAAGGCTATCATTCAAAATAGATGGTCAAATAAAGAGCTTCCCAGGCAAAAAAAAAAAAAAAAGAAAGAAAGAAAGAAAAGAAAGGCTAAAGGAGTACATCACCCACCACCAAGACAGCATTACAAGAAATGCTAAAAGGGATTGCTGTAAGCCAGGGAATGTTGAGAAGAGCCAGAGACAGAAACCTAGCCATTAGAATTAAAATGGCAATAAATAAGTACCTATCAATAATAAACCTAAATGTAAATGGATTAAATGCTCTAATCAAAAGATGTAGGGTAGCTTAAAGGATACAAAAACTTGACCCAACTATATGCTGTCTACAAGAGACCCATCTCAGAACAAAAGACACACACAAGTGAAAGGATGGGGAAAAAATTTCCAATCAAATGGAAAAGAAAAAAAAGCTGGAGTAGTAATACTCATATCCAACAAAAGAGACTTCAAAATGAAGGCCATCAAAAGAGACAACAAAGATCGCTACATAATACTAAAGGGACGATTCAACAAGACGATATAACCGTGGTAAACACATAGGCACCCAATATAGGAGCACCTAAATATATATAAAAAGACTTAAACACCCCTACTTCACTAGACAGATTTTCCAGACAAAAATTTAACAAGGAAACAGTGACTCTAAATGTGGTACATTTATACCATGGATCAGATTGATTTGATATTTATAGAACATTTCACCCCAAAGCTGCACCCAAAAATTGATGGCTTTTTTATACACCAATAATGAATTCTCAGAAAGAGAAAATAAGCAAATAATCCCATTTACCATTGCAATAAAAAAATTAAGATACTTAGACAATTAAAATTTGACAAAGGAGGCAAGAGTACACAATGGAATCAAGACAATCTCTTCAATAAATAGTGTTGAAAAATTGGACAGACACTTGCAAAAAAAAAAAACTAGACAATAACTTACACCATACACAAGAATAAACTTATAATGGATAAAAGACTTAAATGTAAGTCAGGAAACATCCTAGAAGAAACCATAGGCAGTAAAATCTCAGATATCTCTCATAGCAATATGTTTACAGATATATCTCCTAGGGCAAAAGAAACAAAGGAGAAAATAAACAAATGGGATTACATCAAAATAAAAAGCTTCTGCACAGCAAAAGAACCATTAACAAAACAAAATGGGAACCCACTGTATGAGAGAACATATTTGGCAAGGATACATCTGATAAAGGATTAATATCCAAAATATATAAGGAACTCATACAACTTAACAAAAGGAAGATAAACAATCCAATTAAAAAATGGGCTAATGACCTAAATAGACATTTCTCCAAAGTGGACATACAAATAACCAAGAAACAAAAGAATGCTCAAAGTCACTGATCATTAGAGAGATGAAAATTAAAATGACAATGAGGTATCACCTGTCAGAATGGCTACCATCAACAAATCAACAAGTGACAAGTGTTGGCAAGGATGTGGTGAAAGGGAACTCTGGTACACTGCTGGTGGGAATACAGGCAGGTGCAAGCATGATGGAAAATAGTATGGCATTTCCTCAAAAAAACAAATATGGAACTGCCATTTGACCCAGTGATCCCACTTCTAGGAATATTGCCTAAAAATCCCGAGACACCAATCAGAAAGAATGTATGCACCCCTATGTTCATAGCGGCGTAATTTACAATAGCTAAGTGCCCATCAGTAGGTGAGTGGATAAAAAGCTGTGGTACATTTATACCATGGAATACTATGCATCAGTAAAAATGAGTAATCTCTTGCCCTTAGAAACAGCATGGAAGGGACCCAGAGTGTATCATGCTAGGTGAAATAAGCCAGTCAGAAAAAGATAAGTATCAGCCGAAACCGGTTTGGCTCAGTGGTAGAGCGTCTGTCTGCGGACTGAAAGATCCCGGGTTCGATTCCGGTCAAGGGCATGTACATTAGTTGCAGGCACATCCCCGGTAGGGGGTGTGCAAGAGGCAGCTGGTCGACGTTTCTAGCTCTCTATCTCTCTCCTTTCTTCTGTAAAAAATCAATAAAAATCTATTAAAAAAAGAAAAAAAAAGAAAAGTATCACATGATCTCACTCATGTGTGGAATCTAAGCAACAAAATAAACTGATGAAGAGAGTGGATCCCCAGAGACATGGAAGCATGGAACAGAGGGTGGAATCTCAGAAGGAAGGCGGGGGACAGTTGGTGGATGGGGGGGTAATCAACCAAGGACCTTGTTTGCATATATTCATGGCCTATGGACAGACAAAGGGATGGTGAGGGCCTGAGCAGGGGTGGGAGCAGGCTGGAGGGGGTCAATAAGGGGCAAAAGGGGACATGTGTAATACTTTCAACAATAAAGATTTTAAAAATAAGGGAAAGGGGTTTTGGTTTATAACCCTAAATCTATAGCCTTAATGCCTAGTTCAGCACCTGTCATAGAATAGATATTTAATACATTTGTTAAATGTAGCTATTCTATTTTTATGTAGTATAGATGGTCCAACTATATTTTTGCAAAAATCCAAAGATCACATTAAAGAAAACAAAAAATAAAGTAGATTACTTACAAAAGTAAATTATTCTATCCCATCAGAAACCCCTATTAACAGTATGGTGCATAGCCTTAAAAAATTTTTAATGCTTATATTGTCATATCTAATTTATATACCTACGTGCTTAAAATACAAAATGAGGTAATTTATATAATGATCTGCCACATACTATTTTTTGCTTATGATATCTTTTTAAAAAGCATTTTCTCTTAGTCTATTTAAATAGACCTCATTCCTTTTAATAGTTCCACTGTACAAAAATATAATTTAATTAGCCAGTCCTCTATTAATGAGTAGATTATTGGGGTGTTTTGATATTAAAATTCCATTATGAATAGCGTTTTTCCTACTTATAAATATTTATGCTACTATGTTTGTAGGAATGATTCTTAAAAGTGGGAGTCTTAGATGACAGGTTATATAATTTATTTTTAATAATACTTTCAAATATTCTCCAAAACATTTGTATTAATTATACCACTATCTAGCATGTATCAAAGTATTGTGTTTGAATACATGCTAGATAGTAGTATTGAATGTACCTATCTCCCACACCTAGCTAACATAACCTATTTTAAATCTTTCTAAACATGTGATCACTGTAGGGGGAAGGTGCATTATGAACTTGTAATTTTAATTTGCACTGACACATTGTTATATTTTTAAAATTTGTTCTGTATTTGTCAGTTGCTTTTTATAATATAAATGCATTTAAAATTTTTATGTCACCAAACCTTGCAAATTTTCTCCTTTAAAGCTTCCTTAGAAACCCTTCTTCCCACCCCATGATTATAAAAAATAATCTCCTATGGTGATTATAGTAGTTAATAATACTGTTTGTATACTTAAAATTTGCTAAGACAGTATTTCTTTACTGCTCTTACACACCACACAAAAAATAACTACATGAGGTGATGGATGTGTTAACTTGATTGTGGTAATCATCAGATACATTAAACATCAGATTGTACACCTTAAAAAAAATCAGGCACAACCTAGACATATAGAATTTTAGTCAATCATATCTCAACCAAACTGGTGGAATGGAAAAAAATATCTCCTATGTTTTCTTCTAATTTTTTTGAGAGGAATTTATATCTGAAATTTATCTTTTAATATATAATGTAGAAGGGATAAAACTTTTCTTCCTTTAAAATAGCCAATTTTTCCAATACTCATTATATCATTTTATTTTTAATATCTATTTTTTTAATATATTTTATAGATTTTTAACAGAGAGAAAGGGAGAGAGATAGAGAGCTAGAAACATCGATGAGGGAGAATCATCAATCAGCTGCCTCTTGCACACTCCCTACTGGAGATGTGCCCGCATCCAAGGTACATGCCCTTGACCGGAATCGAACCTGGGACCTTTCAGTCCGCAGACCGATGCTCTACCACTGAGCCAAACCGGCTTCGGCTCATTATATCACTTTTTCCACTGATTAAATTCTTACCTTTATTTATATTTTGGGCCCTTCCTTACGTCTATTTGCCTATTCCTGTGCAACTACACAATGTAACTCTTCCAAAGAAAGTGTCTCTGACCCCTTAATTTATTATGCTTTCTCAAGGGCCTCCTAAATATAAAAAATGCTCAGTTAGTTATCAATAGACAGTTTCTTATTATACTTTTGCTAAATACAACAGATTCACTAATAATTAGACATCTCCAGATTTACTTCCTATCTTTACCTTTTGGTAATCATACTATTATAAATAAAAATATCTTATAAAATATTTCAGTACCTGAAATAACTTTTGTTTCTCTCGAACTTTATTTTCAATCTGCCTGCGTGAAGCAGTAGTGATGGTCCTCTGGGAAATCTGACGAAGAGCCTGAAATTAAAAATTCATACATATTAAAAAGATGTAGGGCTTATAGAAACCTTTAAAACCATCCATGTACAATCTTCACAATTATAGAAGAGGAAAAGTGAGAGTTAAAATCTATCCAATGTGTCAGTAACGAAGTTATAAACCAACATCCAGGATTTCCAATGTGTTGGCCATCCTCTGCTCTTTATACTATACTAGAGGCCTGGTGCACAAAATTAATACATGGGGGGAAGGAGGGCCCCTCAGCCCAGCCTGCACCCTCTCCAATCTGGGACCCCTAGAAGGATGTCCGACTGTTGGTTTAGGCTCGATCATCAGCAGTTGGACATCCCTCTCATAATCTGGGACCACTGGCTCCTAACTGCTCACATGTCTGCCTGACTGCCCCTAACTGCCCCCCCCCAAGCCAGCCTGATCACCCCCAACTGCCCCCCCACCAGTGTAGTCGCCCCCCCCCCCACTGTCCTGGTCACTCCTTACAGCTCCCCCCAACGACCTGCCCTTTACTGCCCTCCACCCCTGCTGGCATGGTTGTTCCAAACTACCCCTCCCCCCCACCAGCCTCCTTGCCCCTCACTGCCCCCCCCTGCTGGCCTGGTTAACCCTCACTAAACCCCCCGCCAGCCTGGTCGCCCCCACAGCCTGCTGCTCAGTCGTTTGGATGCCCCTCACTAACCCCCCTGCCAGCCTGGTCTCCCCACACAGCCTGTTAGGTTGTCCGTTCAGTTGTTTTGGATGCAACAGTCACTTAGCCTTTTATATAGTGATTCTACAGTCTCCAAAGACCACATTCAAGAAGCAATTCATGCCTGGCACAGTGGATGGAGCATCAGCCTGTGGGCTCAGGGGTCCCGGGTTCCATTCCAGTCAAGGGCATGTACCTTGGTTGTGAGCACATCCCCAGTAGGGAGTGTGCAGGAGGCAGCTGATGGGTGTTCCTAACTCTCTATTCCTCTCCCTTCCTCTCTGTAAAAAAATCAATATATATATATATATATATATATATATATATATATATATATATTATATATATGTATTTTTAAAGCAATTCATGTGAATTTTGAGCACAAACATGACCTTGACCTTAGTTCAATCAGTATTATGTAATCCTTGAAGAAAGCATACTGATATATTACAGAAACAAAAAATGATAACAAAACACACTAATAAAGTTAAAATGTTTTCATTTAAAACTCTATCATTTTAAAAATCTATTACGTGATCTCAAAATAAACTAGCAGCGTTCCTAAGATACTTCTCTTTACATTTTTCCTAAAAAGATCTTTAATAATATATAAATCATTTAAAAAGGAGACTTGCATTAGATATCCAATTGAATTAAATGAAAACTCCACTTTCTAAAATATATTACAAAACTAAGTAAAACCTTTTTTATTGTTACAAAACATTTGGAGAAATGGTTCCCATGCTCAAAGTCGGTGGAGGGCTGAAGGACACTGCAGAGCCGTCTGAAGGAAGCAACACCGCACGGCCACCACGACTGCTCAAGTCCCATCCAAGACTGAACGATCCGCTTTTCCAGCTGAAACCCGATGCCCACGGATCTCTCAGTGATAGAGGAACATCTTTCCGTCTGCGGGGGGCTTCAGAACCTCCCCCCTGGCCTTGGATTTACTCTCTTCAGAGCTACTAAACTCACCCATCACCCCAGAGTTAGGGGCGGCGAGGAGGAAAAAACAAAACAAAAAACAAACAAAAAATGCATATCTAACAATCCTGTGCTTACTTCCCCAGCTTCTCCGCTCTCTATGTACCCAGCGGAGAGTGGGGCAAAGGGAAAGCTACGTCAGGCAGGAAAAGGACGCGGAGCAAGGTGACCCAAGGAGCCGCCCGCCTCTCCCTCTCAGAACAGGCTTGTGAGTCGGTCGTGGTCCCTTAGCTTCCTCTCCCAACGCTCCCACCCCCCATCGCGACCGCAGGGCGAAGAGCTCCTCACCAGCAGATTCCGCAGCATGTTGGCTCTGTTAGTGCCCACCAACCTCGACTACTGAAAGCCGGGACTGCGGAACGCCACGCCGGAAGCGGAAGTACCTTCTGGGCATGCGCATAAGCCGGGGATCCTAAACATTTCCGGTTGGGCGGGGGGAGGGCTGGCGCTCCTAACCATAGAGAGCGGAAGAATAGCAAGAGCGGCGGCGACACGGTGACCGCTCTAGCCAGCTGGCTGTTCGGGTCCCCTCGTCTCGTTCCCGGCCTGTCGGACACCTTTCCCCCCGGGTTGGCTGGGGATAGCAAACGACTTTTGAGACCAGAGACGCGGGGAGTTGGGTGTTACTCTCTCTTGTAACTCGCTTCGACGAGATTATTGTGAGATCACGCTATCCTAGAAAGTGTGTGTGATTTGAACGTGAAGGCGTAAAACTTGGAGCAACCTTTGATCCCTTTGAGAGGCTGAATGAGCACTGGGTTCGCCGAAACTATAAGATGTGAAGGTGGATGATTTTGGGAACAAAAAGGCTAACTCCCCTTACACGGATAGTTTTCTCCTTCGAAGAAACTGCTGTGATGGCGTTCTTGTTCCTTGTGCTGAGAACATGCTGTGAAGGCCTGCGTCGGGGTACCGGTTTTGACCTTCTTGTACCTCTGGATGCTGCAGAACCCCCATGCAGAAAGGAAGGCTCTTCCACAGCGTCCCAAAGTGTGGAGGCTGTTCTCTCATTTCTCTGTGCCCGGGGAAACGCTGACAAGACGGGGAGTTTTTTAATTGGGGACAAGGAATGGGATGGCAAATCTGAACTCAAGTCTTGCTTTCTTAGGTCCAGCAGGGCACTTTCCATAACTGGAGTTGGTGGCCAAAAGTAATCATGGAACAGGTAAGTTGTCAGTGTGTCCTGCACCAAATTTGCTTATATAATGCTACATTGCAAGCGTCTTCATTCTTTGTGCCCACTCTCTAGTATGTGTACTATAATAGTAAATGTAAAACTGCCCTATGCTACAATAAAGATCACTAAAGATCTTTTCACTTTTTTACAAACTCAGTTCTAATTAACCCATTGTCAATACAAATAGGAAGCTGATGTGTTCTGCATAGGTGAAATGTGTAGACAATACTACTAAAATTATTCTAATCTTTGGTGCTAGACCCACCAAGTTACCTGTCCCCAGTTCGAGTTCTCTCCACTAAAATTTATAAATAATCCAACTCATCTCTCCCTTGGATTAGGACGGAAAGGACAGGGTTTCTTCCCCCTCTGCATTAGTGTAAACAAATCTTGGAGGACAGTTACAGGTACCAATAGCTGGAGCATACAGATGTTTAAAAGTGGATTGCCTATAATTTGAATTTGTTAAACTTGTATGTGCTTTCTTATGTTTTCTTCACGTAGCGAACTAGACGGTAAACTCAGAAGAGATTATGTAAATTTCTTACCAATCCCCTATGACTGCTTAAAGAGGGTAAACTGCCAACCAACAGAAAACTGATATAGGGTGACAGATCTAGGACACTTACGGCTCTGTCCAAAAGGAACTAAAGATTCACATAAAATAGATCCAAAAATAGATGTTGAATCCCTATTTGCATGTCACTTAGTGCAGTATAATTTCCTCCTCTTTACTGGATCATTCCCTCACATTTCCAAATTAAACAAATAAACCTCCTTTGACTTGTTACCATCCCATGTCTCTTAAAAATAAAACATAGATTCCTTTATACTTGTCTTTCCTTCACTTCAAATTTGTACTTATTTCCTTTGGGGCAGGCTTTTACTACTCTTGTTAGGATCACCAATGGCTTCTATTTTGCCAAATAAACTGTCAACCTCAATTTTCATCTTCTATGAATAACATTTAACATACTTGGTCACTCCCTCAATGTTATCTCCAATTTTTATTTATTTTTTTTTTAAATAAGCCATAAATACAATACACTAAAACATGTATGTATACCACATTGTCTTAATGAGGCTTCCATATACAATTTCTGTCCTTTTATTTCAGCAGCTGCTACTTCTGGTTTCCTCATCCTCGCAGTCTAAATTTGAGAATACCAGCTTTAAAAAAAAACAAAAAACATTAATCCCTTTTGGGATTCAATCTGGCGCCACAAAACACCATTTGTGTGCGGACAACTCTCCACCCTGACCTTTCCCTTTAACTCCAGACATCTCCACTTAGATGTCTAATGGGCATCGCAAAATTACAACCAAAACAAAATTCTTCTTTCCACTCACTTCCAAGTGCTCTCCTCTGAAATTTCCTTCAAGTCCCAAGGTATGACCTGCACTTTCAAAATATAATCTGAGTCTGATCACTTCTCATTTTACCACTCCAAGCCAACCCATCATCATCTCTTGCCTGCATTACTGTAAGTCTTTTTAAACTGGCTTCCCTCCCTTCAGCTCTTCCAGTTTATATTCCACACAGCAGTAATCCTTTTAAGAACTTGTTAGATAATGACTCTGCTTGAAACTATTTTATTTTGGTTATTGATGTATCCCCAGCACCTACACTAAGTAACTAGCACATAGTAAATACTGAATAAATAGTATGTTATACAAAAGAATACACTGAAAGTGAAAATTCAAAAAAAAATCTTAATACTAACGTACTCCGTTCAAACATTTTTAAGTCCAAGGGTTCCTCACTCATTATCTTCTTGATCTTGCTCTGTGAATTTTGATTACCCTGACAAAAATATGGCTGACTGTGCCTGAGAACCTATTACACTTGACTAGATCTCCCCAGGCACACCTGAGATTGTTAACAGGTTTGTAAATTCATCCTCCTGAAGCAGAATAGCTATTTTCAAAATAGGTTCCTTTCAAAAACATAGGTCCTTTTGTAACATGGGAAAAATTATCAGACATTGCTCTTCTTTTGAAAAATATTTTCTCCAGAGTTCTTGAGCATTAAAACAGAACTGGCAGTACATGTCGATATGTGGTAGGTGATGATTTAGATGTTGTCGCCAAGATAAATTTGTGGGCATCAGATGTAAAATTATAATACTAAGTGAAAATATTTCAAAGTTAACTGATAGAAATTACCAAATCACAAAGGGACTCAACTTTTCTTTTCCTTAAAAAAAAAAAAAAAAAAAAAAAAAGTCAAACCCTTACTTTAATCCTGCCTTATAGCATCTATAAACAAAAAGAAGACAAATGCCTGAATAATTTTATGGGAATGTGATGTGTATTTTTTTTCCTGAACCATGCTTAATCCACATTCCGTTTTATAAAAACAATATAGAACCAAGATCATGTGAACTTTAATGTATCAAAACTAGTTAGCCCTGGCCAGATGGCTCAGTTGGTTGAAGTGTTCTGTCCCACATACCAGGTTTGATTCCCCATCATGCCACTTACCTAGGTTTTGAGTTCAATCCCTGGTCGGAGTACGGGAAACAGGGAAACAGCCAATCCATCTCACATTGATATCTCTCTCTTTTCCTACCCCTCTAAAATTAATAAAAGTGTGTCCTCTACTGAGGATTAAAAACGAAAAACCTACGGATAAATGGTAGCATTTCTATATAACTCTCTATTTTAATTATGGTATAGTTAGGAATTATGAAACATCTGGTTGTCAACTAACTGCTGTACTATTTTACTATTAAATAATTTATCTAATTGCAAGCCTCAGTCTTTTCATCATTAAAGGGGTTGATGAAAAACCCCTAATCTTTATCTCTGGCTCTAAAATCCTTATATATGAAAAATACCCTAGAATATCCTATATAGGTAATAAAACAATAATATGCAAATAGACCGAATGACTGGTGAAATGACCAGTTGCTACGATGCACACTGACCACCAGCGGGCAGATGGTCAATGCAGGAGTTGTTCACTGGTGGTCAGTGCGCTCCCACTGGGGGAGTGCCACTCAGCCAGAAGCCGAATTCACAGCTGGTAAGTGCAGTGGAGGTGGTGGGAGCCTCTCCTGCCTCCATGGCAGTGATAAGGAGCAGCGAGCTGAGCGGTAAAGAGTGGTGAGCAAGTGGGCGGTAAGGAGCGAGGGGTACTGGACTGTGAGAGAGGTCCCAGACTGTAAGAGAGAGTTCTGACTGCCAGCTTAGGCCCGATCACCCCGGGGAGATAGGGCCTAAGCCAGCAGGTGGACAGCCCCCGAGGGGTCCCAGGCTATAAGAGGGTGCAAGCCAGGCTTAAGGACAACCCCTCCCCTCAGGCAGTGCTCGAATTTCGTGCATTGAGCCTCTAGTATGACTAAGTTCACTCCTTGTTGAACAATAACATACTGAGGGCCTACTATAAATGTAAAATTTTCCAATATGCTCAGGAGAAAATGTTGAATCTCTGATCTTCTGGAGCATATACTCTCACTAGGAATATAACATACACATAGCAGAAAGTTATTCTGCAGACATATATGACTCTCTGGTAACTGCTATAGTAAAAGGTTGCTAAGGGAAATTCATGAAAGATAATGGTCATTGGGAAGGTTATGAAAAACACTGGATTTTAGCAGGTTTCAGTAAAATTAGAATACATAGTATTGAGATTAAAAGGTTTTCCAGACAGGGCAAAATCATGATTAATAACCTGGATTCAGAGTCAAGCATGATTTACTGCAGAAACTGAAACAGACATTTTAAAGTGATGTATGATGAGTTCAGTCTTCTTCCACATTACCCTGGAAAAGCTTGTGACACACAAACAGACAAATTTCCATTAATGTCACCTAAAATGCACCTAAAAAAACCTTAAGTTTTTAAAATAATTATAAAACATATTTTTGAAACCAATATGATTTTATTAATCAATATCACCCCAATTAATAAAATTTTTAAATTAGTATTATTAAAAAGATTATAAAATGTTATGAAATCACAATGTGCTTCAAGATGTTTCTGGTTTGATAGTGAATTGGCCCTAAAAGTCTTTTCTCCCTCTCACCCTAGTAAAATGAGAGAAAAGAAATTGAAAGGTTATGAGGTATTGATAGATCTTTAGATGAATCTCAAAGGCACTAAGCTGAGTGAAAGAAGCCAG